CCCCCCCCTCCCCAGCCTGCCTGGGTCCCTCTGGATGCCATCCCTTCCCTCCAGCATCTAGATCTTTCCTAAGCTGATCCTGGCTGCTCAGACAGCCTCTTCCATACCTCCCAGCTAAACCCTTCTTGCTTCCCCTCCCTATATATTTTCTTAAATGAAAAGCCCCTGATAAGAGTATTTGGAAAGAAAGCAGGGGTGTGTTGTCAGCAAGTCCTTGCGAGTTATGGAAAAATCCTTTGTCTCCTGTCTTGTCTTTTCTTCCTCCTTGTTTCCATGCCGTGCGTTCCGGCATCCTTTGGGCAGCGGGTCCTGAACTGCGCTGTGCCCTTCTCTCCTTGAAATGGAGCACTGCTCCTGCCTATCGATACCACTTTTAATTAAGTTAAGCTGTTTAATCACTTTTCCAGCTGACTGTTGATTCACAAGTGGGAGGGGATTTGTAGCTGCATTGATTTAGGAGTTTGGGGATTTGGGGACGGTGCAAGGGGATTGTTAATCGTTGCAGTAACGCAGTGTGGGCTGTAATTGGAGGTGACCTGGGAGCAGCAGATCCCCCATCGCCATCACTCTCTGCTCTCTCTGGCCTCTCCCCAGGCAAGTCGGAGGTGGAGCAGTGGTCCGACATGTACACGGTGACCAGCCAGCTGCTGCTGAAGGTGGGGCGCGAGGACGATGGGGTCCCCGTCATCTGCCTGGTGGATCACCCCGCTGTCAAAGACTTGCAGACGCAGCGTTACCTCGAAGTCATGTGTGAGTAGCAGAACTTTTAATGGGTCAAATGGCTCGCTTAAGAGTTCGGGAACTATTCGCCACGTGATAAAATTGCAGCACGGCTGGGGTTTATGCCCTGTTATTTCAAAATGGAAATGAAAATGTTGGGTACTGCTGCATGAGTTGAGCCCTTCCGCGAGACGATAAATGCATAGTTCTCTTCTCTTAGGGAATAACTTTCTGTACATGGAATTCGTACCATCAAAGGTTCCTGGCTGGGCTTTATAATTGTCAGAACAGATGAAATCTGAGGGTTTTGGTTTTTTTTTTTTCTTTAGCAACCTGCTTGCCTCTTTGAAAAGCGCTTCTGTACTACCACATCAAAGCCCCTGGCCACCATGGCAAGTTCAGCGGCAAAAGCTTGGTACCGTGCAAAGGAAACTCCGCAGTGTGCGTTGTGACCGCACAGCACCGGCTGCTTTCCTGCAGCAGGGGAACGGGGAGCACGGGGAAGCTGCACTGACACCACTGGTTCAGGCCAACCTCTTCTTGCTAATGCTGCTGACACGTTCAGTGTTAATAATGCACTGCACTTCGTTTAGTGTATGGCATTAACGAGGTTTATGAGCAGGCACCTGGAAATACCTGCAGTCCCCAGTGCGGCCGTGCCCGACTTTCAGCCCACGGAGGTGACGGCGCTGCTGCGTACACACGGGTCCCCAATGCGGCCGTGCCCGACTTTCAGCCCGCGGAGGTGACGGCGCTGCTGCGTACACACGCCTCTGCCCAGAAATTGGCTCCCGAAAGCAAAATCCCACAGTCCCCCCAGGAAGGCTGGGCTGCCCCAGAAAACCGGGCTGTTGGGAGGATTCAAAGTGCTTGTTTTTATAGGGTCACTTCGAGTAGAGCATTGCATGGAAAGGGGAAGTTTTGCAGTAATTTGTTTCATCTGCTTCATTATGTAGTTTCATTATGAACATCTTGGTTACAATTCTCGTATCTCTGGAACTAGCGGGAAGCAATGTTCCTGTAATGAGGAAAACAGAAATGATCAGATACTACCTAAATTGGCAGATACGAGATTTCTTGCGACTGTGCTAATGTGTAATTCATTTATGCAAACTTAATGTCCATTAACATTTCTGGTAGAGCTTCCATTGGCTTTAATAATGCATTAGCACCTTGGTGAGGCTTGATCAAACACTTAACGGGGGGAAAAAAAAATTCCCATCTCCCCTATTATGCAGAGGGATTGAAATCTTGCAGGTTGTCATCCCCTTGTTGGAAAGGACATCAGAGTACTTCAGGCTTCCTTTCAGCAATTCCTCCAAAATCCCAGAGTTCTTGCAGGCACGCCGACTGCCGCATCGTCCTGTGCGCGTGGCCGCGGCCGCTCTCCCGGCTCCAGGTCGCTTGCTGGAGTCTCTCCCCTTGTGTTCTCTCCCCATAACTCCTGCCCGTTCCCACCAAGGGCACGGTGGATCCTCACCTTCGGAACACCAGCAGGGCGCAGGAAAATGTTTTTCTCAGCAGACATTGTGCTTCTCGGCGCTTAATGTATCCAACTGGAGCATGAAATGTGTTGGGGAAGGACAGGAGGATGATGGATGGAGCCTTCTCGGATAACGAGGTATTTTTTTCTCTGGCTGAGTTCCCGAGGAAGGAGAGGTTTTTTTATAAGATGCAACTGCTTTAAAAATAAACAGCAAGTTCACAGCGCATGTGCTGGAGGAAAGACTCTTTTACTCAGCAAAACCGCGGGTGGGGCTGAGTCACGGCGAGCATTAACGTGTCCTACTCGTGGAGTAAGGCGTTTGTTGCGTATAGTTGCGTAGAGCCCCGTGCAGGTTGGAAAATATCCCCTGACGCTGGCTGGGGCCACGTGCTTTGTGTGAGTCAGATCCCTCGCTGGGGGATGGAAGACCAGCGCCTGGAGCGTAATTTTAGAAAGGAAATGAAGCAACAAAATGCATTAAAATATCATTAAGGAATTGAATGGAACCAGATATTCTCGGAGACATTTAAGTTCAGCCGTTGTGGTATTTTTCCCTATCTCGTGGCGTGATGCTGGAAGTGTCAAAGTCTTGAGTTGGCATTTCCTCTGGGCTGGGTTTATTTTTTTTTTTTGTGCTTTTCTGAAGTTATAATTAATTGCACATTGATTTTTATAATATAGACACGTGTACTTTTAAAATATGCACCAATGGGATCCTTTTCAGCCTCTGTTTTTACGATGGGAGAATTTTTTGCACCCGATTATATTAAAAACTGGCCATATACGTATGCAGTCGCGTCTCTGGTAGTACTTCTGTTTCTATTGAGTACAAATATTAATTGCATAGTATGCAGTGAAGTGATTAACATCAATGTAATTTATCATCTGGAGACTTTTGAAAACGAATAAATGAGTTGTTTTGTTCAGCGAGGTGTTGACCCCTTCAGAAACTTGGATTTAAAGTGTTTTCTTCTTTTTTTAGCAAATATGAAAAGCACCATAATCAGCCGAGTGTTCAGTTATTTGATTTTCTGGGGCATTAGCCACTCTTGTTTGTGACATTTCCCAGCTGGGTGCTCGTTTGCAAGCTCATTAATAAGGTTTTCTCGAAGGAATGTTGTTGGGAGCGAGCAGCATACGGCGTTGACTGGACTCTGCCTTAAATATTTAGGAGGGAGGTGGTTATCCCCAGCATACCTGCTGGGCTTGGGCTTTCCTTTTCCTCTACAAACCGAGGGTTTACATTCCTTTAGTCCAAGCGAATTTTGCCAAGAAGTCAGGTTTTGGGAGCAGTTGGGGCTGCAGAGCAAAGCAGAGGTGAGGAGCTGCACAGAATCATAGAATCATAGAATGAC